GCACCGGGGCTTTCCCCGCTGTGCAAGTGCCTGCCGGCTTCTCCGCGGGGCCGCCGGGACTCGGGCCTGGCTGGGTGGGGAGGCGGGGAAGGCGCCCTCCCCGCCCGGCTCTGTGCTGAGGGCACTCAGCCCCCGCGCGCCGCAGCTGGCGGTCCAGGCCCCGCGTTGCGGCGCAGGGAGGCGGTGCGGCCGGAGACGCAGCCCCGAGGTCGCCGACTTGGGAGTCCAGTTTTGAGGGGAAAGAATCCCTGAAGCGGGCCGGGCCTGCGGGAGGTAGCCCCGCACGGGTCTATTCACAGCAGAGAGTGCAGCGGCCAGGGGCTTGAACGGTGCTCAGGCCCCTTCACGTCTCCTCAGCCTTTCTTTAGGGAAGAGGAAAACCTAAAAGAGGTGGTGCGAGCAGTGCTGCCAGACCCTCGCAAAATGCACAGAACATTACTGGCAGTCTCTGCTCCCTCTGAACTACGGATGCATTTGGGTCCCCTTTTAAGGTTTGCTCTGTGGAGACCGGAGCAGAGACGTGGGATCCAAGAAGTTCCAGTTCCTAGGTCACTTGATCTCCTGGTACTTCAGTCAACCCTCGCAGAAAATTGTAGGGGAGGAACAGGACTTCACCACCATAGGTGCTGTCTCTCAGCGAAGCTTTTCCCAGCAAGAAATTTTTAAAAGCATATTGAGACTTCCATGCTTTTCAAACCATCCTTCTGCTCAGGAAATGGATCTTAAGGAGGCTTCTAGTTGTTGGCACTCTAGTACCCTCCTCCAAAGCGTTAGCAAGCTACTACTGTCTGAAGCTGAAGTACCATCCAAGGAAATCACATCTTTTAGAAATCACAGAATGGATCATATTTGGTAAAATGAAAGGTTGCCTTTGCCAAATGGGCATCTTACCAGAATTAATTTTGCATGGATGGCACAAAACTGCAACTAGAAGAGCGGAAAAGAAATGGTTATAGGTGAATATCAAAAGTGAACTATCAGATCAAGACCTTTTTTTATCTGTGTGACTGTACTATCATACTAAACAGGATCCCCACTCGACCCTAGGCCTCAGGCCTAATAATCTGATATTAACATGTAAAATATGGAGTTCGGTTTAGTATACCCGGTATATTCTTTAGAGAATTGAAGCTATTTATGGGGTGGGCATATACCTCTGTGCAGAAAATTATGAGTTTTTAGACCTCTTGATTTTGACCCACTTATGCCTATGCCATGATTGTGTAGTCTTTTTTTTAAAATGTGAAGGATAAGACCCTGTAAAGAGTAGTCCTGTTGATCTGTGTGTGACAGTTCCTGTCAGTAAAATTGCTCAGATACATGTAAATATTTGCAGGGCCTAAAGTTGAGAGTTCTGGCTCCAGGACATGGCAGTCTATATAGCATCATTTTGCAAGAGAGGCTGAAAGCACTCAGATTCCATTGCAGAGAGTAAGAACAAGAACAGCTTAGAAACTTCCAGGTTCCTCTTTGATTGAGGGATAAAAGGGAAGAGAAATTGGACAGAAAGGAGGGGGAAGAATAAAATGATGTGGAGAGAAAAACATCCCTAAGACATGATAAGGGTGGAGAGGATGCTAGAATGGTTGTATTATATACAGTATTTTTTAATGTGTGGGCTGTGCTTTAGAGAAAACCCTATTTCAAATATGCTGTCAGTATTATTGACCCTCTTGACTGAGAATGGATGTTAGCAAAGCAATATTTTTGTAGGGCACCAACATGCCTAAAGTAACTCTGCTGTTGATCACTTAACTGGCATCAACTGAAACAGATCTGCCAAGTATCGTATATCTTGCATGACACTCATAACTTGTCACAGCTACCAGTGTTGGCAAAATGTCAAGAACTGTTAAATATGCCTTCATTCTGACCTTTCCTAACCTTTGAGTATTTGACTTTGTGACCTTGACATTCTCTCAACATGGGTTTGTTTGACTCATTATGTAATATTACTGGGGGAAAGTGCCTTTGGTAATTGCTAGTGAGCTACAAAGCCTTTCATTTGCAGCTTCCCAGTCTAAATGCAACTTGGCTTGGTAGGGACCAACAGCTGTTTCTGTCCAATGGATGTTTGGTGGGTCCCTACATGAGATGAGTTTAGAGGGTCTCCATTCTATGTCTAGCATCTTAAACACACCATTATACTTTGCATGAATTGACCCTCAGCAGAGGGGCCATGAGCTGCACTGGATATGGAAACTGATCTACCTTTGTTACTTTTCACTGAAAACTTTCCCTCTGGGAACCATACTCCTGAGAGCAAAGTAAAACAAGCACGACACATTGAGCTGCATCTAGCCACAAAGAGGCCTTTGGAGAAATAACTGCTGGCTGTTGGTCTTTAGACTTTCTACAATTCCTCCCCCCCCCCCCCCCCCGCAACAACTATAAAACACTTTGACAATAATCTTTAAAAAAAAAAATTGCAATTGAGTGACTCTCTTGGACCCATGAAGAACTGTGAATGGGTTGTTTATTTTGTTTATAAAAATACCAAAGGCCAAAAAGTCATGTTTTACTCCTTTGTAGTGAGTTTAATTAGAAGTGCCAGACAGATCTCTAGAAAGCAAAATTCAGTTTAGTCACAAAGAAAATTAATCACAGGCAGCTGCAATACCAGCTTCCCTGCTTCACTCTGCCACATAGCTGAAGAGTTTGAAATTCAGTGGAAATTTTAATTCTATCTGACTAGAGCCAGATATCCACTAGGAACTCTTTCCCCACCCCCTCCCCTCTCCCCTTCAAACTGAATAATTTGCCAACAGATAAAGCTATCTTTTTCCTAGTTTGTTTCTTCCTGAGTAAGAACTACAAGATTTGGACCGAAACTGGATAGCATGCATGATACCATTTGTTCACTGATATGAAATGCAGTTTGCTTACTGTTGCATTGTTATCAAGGATAAAAAAGCAATAAGCAATTCTTCAATAGAATTTAAAAATCTTAAACCTCTGATTTAGGAATGATAAATGTCCATGTAAAAAAGTCTCATTTTTCATCCGAACATCTGTTTGAGTTTTGTGCAAATGTTTGAAGGTATGTAAGAATTAGATTTAAACCAAAATGCTCTTGCAGATCCACACTGTGAGTTACCTACAACTTCCCTCATTTACTGTTATCAGAAATGCTTGCATGAATTTATGATTTGTTTATGACGTCAGGTTCATTTCCACAGTGAACAATTATGGTATCTCAAAAACCAGATTGACTTCAGGGAGGAAGGACACAGCAGGAGCAAATGAACTGTTAGGGTCCTATCCAGTAGAAATTATCTACAGTATTCAGTGATCTAAAGAATAAGTAAGGCCAGAGATGCTTGCTGTGCAGTAGATCAGCCTATCCAGGCTGGTGCATAACAGGTGATGAGCCTGTAAGTGGCATAGACCAACACAAATGCTAGTAGGGAATTGTCCTAGGCCAGGGAATTACAGCTTATAAACTGTGGCTGTAGCCATAATTGAGTTTAGGATCCAGCCAGTAATATGGATGTGTAGAAAGGATGCATTTGCATAGGCTAAGAAACATGGCTAAAGTTATCTTCTACGGATGTTCAGAACCTGACCTTCAGACTCTTATTATTTAGTCCAATCAAAACAGATTACCTCCAGAACATCATCACATACTGATTCCTGATGAGGGATATTCCACATCACCGTCATTTACAATTTTCAACTCTCAGCCATTTTTTGGCTGGAAAACTTCTTCCAAATATATTTAAAGTTTGCAAATGACTGAGCAAACATTAAATATACACGTCAAATGTTAAATATAAATGTCAGAGCTCTAGAATAAAAATTCACCTTGATGCCAAATTTGAGCCTTCGGTTTCAAAAGTGAAAGTTCAAGAAACTTATAAGCAATTGCCCGGGGATGGTTAAAAGGGATTTTTTTTTTATGCCGCTAAATTGGGAGCTACTATTATAATACTGTAGACATATTTTTAATATTAAACTTTCCATGTGTAGGTATCATTGGGTTCATTTTTTTACTTGCTTTTTGTTTGTTTTTAAAAACATTGCAATTCTAAAAATGATATATTATTTTACACTGGTAATCTACTTTTAAAAATTCAGGTGAGAATTTTGAAAGCAGTTCAGTATAGGGGTAAAACAGACCAAGGCTGAATTCTATAGAAAAATGCACTCAAAATTAGCTAGTTAAATGGGCAGAATGTGCCTTCTAAGATGTTTGGTTCTTTCAGGGGCAGGGTTTAACGCCTATGAGAAAACAACCTGACCTGTCCTACCTTACCTTCTAACCTCTGATCTGTCTGATCCCTGGATATCTTCTCCTGGATTTACTGATGACTTGGAACTTATTGCATGGCTTTGAAGTAATTTAAGGTTGCCATGCTTCTAAATAAAAATAACTTCATGAATGAGTGTTGATAATGAAACCAGTAGCTTGAGCTTCTTTCTTGTTTCATGTCTCTGTTAAAACATGCAAGTGTATTGTTAAAAATAACTAACTCAAAGAGGAAATTAGTTGTACTTCAAACACATAGTTACATTGTAATATGAAACCAAGTTGCCACTTTTTGCTAAGAAGTGCAGGAATATTTTCAAACATCATCTTCCTAGTGGCTGTGCCTAAGATATCATGGGCACGTCTACACATTCATTAATGCACTTTAGGTAATGTGCATTCAATCTAAGTTCTAAAGGTAGTGATGAGCAAGTAGAGGGACTGTTGTTGGGTGGGTTCCTCCCCTACACATTCATAACACTTGAAGATTATAATTACATGCAAAATAAAGTTTTATTTGAAAACATTTATTACCAATATCATTTTATTTTTCTGTGTAATTTAGACTTACATCCTATTTTTGACTTTTTCAAGATGGGCATCTCATGAACTATGGATACAATACTGCTACTGCTGCTGCTACTAGCACTTGTTTAGCATATTTCGCCTGCAGGATCTCAAGTTGGTTTACAAATGATGGATAACACTCTGGTCACCCTCCATACTGAGATGCCTATTTGACTGCACCACAGGTGGCAATAAGACTAGCTTCTACTTCTTCCCCCCCAAGTAGCTTTTGTTCTTTCTTAAGATTGCTGCCATTTTTCTATCCATCTGCGTCATAAGGTACAGACGAGTGGGAATGGAATTGAGTGGGGCTAAACTGAAAGCAGATATTTCACCTGTTCCATTCAACACCAGCTTGCCTGGTGGCATTTTCTCTTTTTTCCAATCTCTTACCTTGGAGGCTCTTCCATCCTCCCTTAGTAAATCTTATCCCCTTTTCCTCTCTCTTAGAGGCTCATGGTTCAGCTATTGGGCCAAATCATATGGTCCAAATGAGCTTTGCTCAGCACAAGACTGGAAGAAGTAGAGCAGAAGTGGCTCAAAATTATTATTGTATTCCTCTGATCCCGGGGAGAAATGAATATTGGTCCAGATTCCTATGTAAATTACAGCAAGCAGGGGACATCTATAACATACTATTTCTCATGGTGCCAGGAGTCTGCATTAGAGGCCAAGGGTGGCATAGGCAGAGGCACTGTTGGACAGTTCTGTGCCCTGGACAGCAGCAGTGCATGGAGCAGCAGCCACAGCTGGGCTGTCAGTGCAGCAGTGTCAGCTGCTATTTGTTTTTGCACCCTCCCAAAGTCTGTGCCTGGGGCTACTATCCTAGTTACCCCCATCCCCTTACTTACACTAATCAGCATAGGAGCAACTACAGGGGAAATCCAGGAGGCTAGCTTGGCTGGTTTTATAGCTGCTTTATGCTGCAGCAGCTGGGCAAAGAAGTCAGAGTAGACCTCAGTCTGGCCTATTGGCCACAATGGAATTATTCCTGTACTACGTGGTTGCAAGATTAGAATCTGACTCTAGTCCAGGACAGAATTAAAACTTTCATTGTATTTCAAACTCTTTCACTATGTAAATCACCACCATTTCTGAAGGTCTAGCTAGTGACTATAAAGACAATTAAAATATGGCTAATACGATTTCATAGAGGTCATTCCAATAAATAATGTATTGATTATTCAGCCAATTATTTGCAACCTTCCCAAAAGAAGTCAGATAGCCCCTGGTTACAGGGACTCTTTTAAGTACTCAATTTTTTGCTAGTCCTTTGAGTTGCATTGAGGTCATTTTTCCTTGTACTGATTCCTCTCCTCTGTTTGAATGGGAAAATTATTAGTAGTTTTATATATTTTCAGCAAAAAAATTACGAGTTCTACGTTCCATCCAACACTGACTGCAGCTGGTTTTTTATGGTAACATTTTACAAATTCCTCACCAGCGAGCTCATTAGTATAAATGATGGAGCCTTACCTCAGATTTCAAGTCAGCAATTTTCCTCTGATACCAAGCAGGCTGTTTTTCTTCATAATACATTGATGGAGGAATTTAATCCACAGAGTTGGCAAAATATAACCTTCTGCTCTTACAAGCAAAGATGAGCAGAGGGCAGCAGATCTATGTCTGGAAAGAAGTAGTTCTGATTATATTATACTTGTCTGTTAACATTGTAGCTACCTATGTCTTCCAAGAATCAGAACCTGGGCAGGAAGTGAATGTGAGGGGTGAGAGAGACAGCCTCTCTAATGGGCATTTATAACTTATCTGAGCAGTTGTCATGGGGGAAAAAGCTACTGCTAAATAAAAGGATGGGCAGCTGCCAAAAAAAGCCATGGCACGGTACATTACGTATGATGCACAATAAAAGCATGTATATTAAATTGCTGCAAATAAGACATTAGTATTTTTCAGTACAGCATATCACTAGACTTTGGCTAGAAGGGACTTAGAGTACCTGCCATAAGAGTCTGACTGGATAATGCTGGTTGGGAACCAGTTATCTAAGGATAGAAAAAGTCATTGCCTTTGTGCCACCATAAAAAAAAAAATATAGTGGCACAAAGGCCAAGCAAACAGATGTCCCATTCCCCTTTTCATACCACAGATAGCCAAAATGTGTGGCTGTGACAAAGGTGGTAATAGTTTCTTCTGCTTTATTGCAGCATACAGTTGTTTAGTTTAAAGTTCAACAGTGTAGGCAGCCCAGAGACGCCTGTGCTTTCCAGTTGCCTTGGGTAGGTGCTCTTGGGACTTGAGAGGCTAATTCTGTATGCCCCGTGAATTCCTGAACAGAATTGGGCCTGTTAGCCCCTGAAAACCTGCCCAGCTTTCCCCTCTTAAAGAGATACACCCCAGACAATCTCTGCGACATCTCTCTACGAGAGAGGAAAACTGGGGTTTCCCATCTGCAGAGACGTATCCCTGGTAATCCCACCACAGCTGATCCATTTCATTGGTGACATGTGTTCACACCCTAAGTTCTTATGTCTGTAAAGCAACTTGAACTTGAACTAAGGCCATGTATAGATATTCCATTTTTCTGGGAAAGTTGTTGCTTTCCTAAGAAAAACCATGTGTGTGTAGATGTTCATGACTTTTTCTCCCAGAGCAAAAATGGCCACACCTAGAGAAAAATAACTTGGGAACAACTAGGGTTAAATCACTCCCAGGAGAGTTTCCCCTGAGACAGCAAATGTCTTTACCCTATTGAGAGAATCCATAGCACAGCACAGCTCTCTAGTATCCCAGAATGCTTTGTTCTCTCCTCAACCCTGTCACCCCTGGGAGGCAGTGTGTCACTTGGGATGCATTGTACTACTTCAGCCAAGCAGGAATCAGAACATGGCCCGTTCACAATTTCACATTGTGCTTCATGGAGACACAGGCTGACTCTGAGCAGTCTAAGTCAACCAGCTAGGGGCTGCCCTGTGCCCCATTGACATCTCTGGCAAGGCAGACTGAGGGAGTCTGCAGAGCATGGTGAGATGTGTGCACAATGGCCTCCTGGCTGTGCAGCATCAGCACTCCAAGCTCTCTGCCCTTCGGGGGCTTAGCATTCAAATGTCTGTTCAGGTGTCTCTGGATAAATTTTTCTACCAAGAGAACAAATGCAGAAGTCTCCCAAGTCATTTGAATATGTGTATGCAGTATACTAGGGCTGTGCAAAATTTCTCCAGCTGTTTTGTTTTGATGCTGTTTCAACTCATTTTGAGCTCAAAACAGTGAAATTGAAATGAAATAAAGGGCTTCAAAACAGCCTTGAAAGAAAACAAGGCTAGTCAAAACATTTCAAAATTTCAAAACGTTTTGAGTTTTGAAGAAGCCAGCAGCCAGGTGGTAGGAGACGGGGAAGAACCAGGGCTGCACTCCCAGCAACTCCACAGCCCCATGTCACTCAGACAGGCAGGCAGTGAAGCCCTGGCTCTCCCTGCCTCCCATGGCTGGGCTACGAGAAGCTGATCACAGCACAGGGGAAGGGAACTGGCTCAGTTCTCCTCCCCAGTCCTATGATCAGGCTGGGGAAGGCAACTCAGCCCAGCTGAGCTGAGTTCCCCTCCCCAGTGCTACAATGGGGCTGGGGAGGGGAACTGAGCAATTGGGTTCAGTTCCCTTTCCCAGCTATCCAGTCCCAGGCGGCAGAACCCAGCTTCCCTCCTTCATCTGGCAGACAGATTGGGGGCCCGCAACCCTGTGAGGACTGACACAGCCCCCGCAGCCCTCCCGGGGTTGGGCTCCAATCTACCTGCTGGATGAGGAAGGCTGTTTCAAGCTTCCCCATTATAGTTTATGGGCAAAACATTGAAACAGCATTGAAACAGTGTCACTGTTTTGATTAAACGAAATG